GGCGGACTGTCAGCCGCAGAGATTTCTGCACCTGAGGCAGGCAGAGCAGGAAGAAATGAGGAGGGGAGAACTTATTGTGGCCGAGTAGGTTGGAAGATGGTTATTTGATGGTAGGCCTATTTATTGTTTTTAACGTCCTACAGGCTCTGAAATGTTCAATAAGTTTGAAACTACATTTTTTTAAATCCGTAAAACTTAAAAAAAAATTCTGGGAGATTGTTCTGTTAACATCAGTATAGGCCTACCTGCAAAATAAGGAAAACATTACAGACAATCCATACAACTTGACATGCTGCACTTCAGTGGGACACAGTGGGACAGGAGAGACCGAGAGGACTCATGTTGTCCATAGATAATAAGATCAAAGAAAATACAGATTATCACGGACGAGTTCTCAGAGCGCAGGGCTCGTCATATGTTCTTCAGTAGTGGTGAGTAGCTATGGTACTTCTTTTTGAAACTGTGTTTGTGAACATGTGGGCCGCTGTGCCAGTTTTACCGAACTTTAGCTACTGATAGGGTACAGGTTCTGAGTTGAAATAGATAAAGCTGTTGTCAAAATGACCCGGCCACTATCCGTGGTGCTGAACTGTTTTGAATTTGTATTGTTTTATCATTAGTAGCTGAATGTTTTAATAGTTTTCTTGGTTTGTTGTACTTCATGTCAGTTTGATGGACTTCAAAATAACAGCCACTCTGTGGAGCTGTAAGCCCCACTGTTGCAGGCACGTGTGTTGTATAAAATGATGTTATCATGAGCTTTATTATTCGGTATAAAGGGCCCCGTCATTTGCCCCGCCCCGGCTCTGATTTGTTTCACTAGTGGCAATGGCTGTAGCCCGGTCCTTGCCTTCCTACAGATTTCCGCTCAACTCTAGTTTCCCTTCACTGCTACATCTGGGATTTCTCCCAAAGACAAGGATTTCTTCAGGAGAATTTCATTCGGGCCAATCAGAGAACTGAAGGCAGAGTTTTGAATGACATTGATTTTCTGCGCAGTGTCTGCTAGTTATTTTAGCATACGGCAGTGGGCGAAGTGAATGAAGCCAGTTCGTGTTGATAAGGCTTTCAAATTAAATTAAATTTGTCTGACAAAGCAGCWGCTCTCATTTACAGCCGTCTCATTCGGCTCGGTACTTCTCTCCTCTCAGTAGGGTTGTTTACAGTACAAGTGATTTCTGGTTAGCTTCACAGTGGAGCTGGCACACATACTGTACGTTGCGGCCAACTGATCCAATCATTTTAAATTTCAGCAGAGGCCATGCCTCCAGTAAGAATCACTATAGCCGAGAGTCCAGACCCTCATACAAAGTGAAGGACAGGGTCTGGTTTTAACTGTTAAGGCTACATTCTAACCTTATTCTGTATAGCTTGGAATATTAAAGCARTTTTGTTCAATGAGATGTGTCGACTTCCTCTAAATAAGAAACATAACATGGAAAAGCTTTTTTTCTACAGTGATAAGTGTCAATGTTTTTTTTCTCATTTTTTAAACTGAAAAACAAAGAACTATACACAGATTGTGGATATTTCTGCATAAACACAATTTACAAATTTGGTAAAGGCATTGTTTTCCCTTATAGAAGTTGTAGTTTTTTTTATATATATATGAAACAGCAAACAAACATATTTTATCCTGGTAAGTAAAACTGCAGAACTGGAAGCAGGCAGGTTTTCTTTTTCATGTAACTTTTTTTTCTAATAATCATGGGAAAAAGTTTGATTTAAGTATTAATTTGATCCATCTACTGTGTTATAACATCATCTCACAATAACTGAAACCATAAACCATACTGACAAAATGTTTTATGTGCACCCCAAAGACTGCCCACTTTGCCGTGACGGACGTCAAAAGCAGTCTGTTAGTGTAAACTCCTGTTCAGCTAGTCAAAAAACAAAGAGGCATTTGGTGGACATTGGGTTCTCGCAATAAACTAAAACAAACCCACACACTCACTCTTAAACACAATTCTCCAAGCAATAGGTCCGTATTAGTCACACACGATCCAAATGGGGGGCTGAGAAGCAGACTGTTGATCAGCCATGGGGAGAGCCAGAACACGGCCCGGAGATTAGATCACCTGCAGCAGAGAGGAGCAGGGAGGAGGAGGGAAGGAAGTGGAGAACCTATCTAGTGACAAAGTGGCTTGGGATATGGTCATTTAATTGGATTTATTTATTGTTTTTATTTTTTTTCCCCTTTTTACAAGTCTTACAGTCTCTGAGACGTAAAATACATTTGAAGACGAGTGTTTGTAAAACACTCCAGTGTCTTGACTGACCTGGAACACCTTGGAATCCCCCCAGAAGAGCTGAGGGGGCTGGGGACAGAGAGGTCTGGGCTTCCCTGCTCAAGCTGCTGCGACCCGAGTCCGAATAAAGCAGGAGGATGGGTG